AATCTTTAAAGAGGGGAAAAACTACCTTGAAGGAACGCTAACAAGGGCACCAAATTCAGCCACAGGATCATTTTTTGCTCCCTGTAACCAATGAAAGGAATGGATAGGAATGGATTGTGGAAAGTGGACAAACTTTGTGTGGTTGGGTGTGGCCTGAAAAAAGAAACCAAGCGGCTCCTTTAAAGAATTTCTGTCCATATTCTCTTTTTGTATATAGAAGATTTCATTGAAACACTTTAGTTCTTAGGAGTCCAATCTCAGGTCCAATTGGTGGAGTCTGGAGGGGATGTGAGAAGACCTGGGGAGTCCCTCCGTCTCTCCTGCCAAGCCTCTGGATTCACCCTCAGAAGCTATTATATGCGGTGGGTGAGACAGGATCCAAGGAAAGGACTGGAATGGGTGGCATCAATAGCTACAGGATCATCTCCTTCCACTTTCTACCCAGACAAAGTCAAGGGACGCTTCACCATCTCCAGGGATGATTCTCGCAGCCAGCTGTATCTGCAAATGAACAGCCTCAAACTAGAGGATTCTGCAGTTTATTACTGTGTGAGAGAGACACAGTGAGAGGAAGTGAATCGGATGCCAAGCAAAAACCTTCTCTTCCTGTCAGAAGCTCTCCAAAATGATTCAGTCAAAGGAAGTTGTGTATTTGAACTTAAAAGCTGAAGATAAATCTCCATCGTATGTCCTGTAACCTCAAATCTGATCTTTGTAGAAGCAGTGTGGAACATTGTTAAAACTTTGATGTTGGGGGGGAAAATGGATTTCCAGGTTGTGTAATAAGAAATACGGATTGATGTCCCACAGATTTTCACTGATATCTTGGAAACTCTGAGTTCCTTAAATTCTCGGTATTGCCAAATCCCCATATTTTATTTTTTTTAGACATGTTCCTCCATTTTAATTCTCTCTGTATCAATATATGTATTCAACCTCCTCAATCCTGAAGTTCTCTCCCCTCAGTAGCTTGAGCCAAGGGACGTAAACATTGGTCACTGGAGGCCTCCTGTCTCATAAACCTTCTGAGACTCCATTTTTTAAACTGCCTTCCCGCCTTGATATAATCTCTTGATCACTCCTGCTGCAGTTTCACATCAAAGCAATGGATGGGCTGACCTGACTTACCTCCTAATAACCTTTGAAGAGTAAATGAAACTTGGATTTATCAATCAACTATCTTGCTAAAGAGCAAAATGATTTGAAAATCACATGTGTAAATTCTGTCTGAAAAATTTCTAAGTGAATCGACTGAGGGGCTCTTTTATCCCAATCAATACGTAAATCTGAACATGATTTCCTTTAAAGAAGCTGCATGGTTTCCCTTTTCAGGCTGAACCCACCAACACCAAGTTTGCATGGTTCCTAAATTCTTTGTGTTCGATTCCCTCCATTCGATAAATGGAGCTAAAATGATCCCATGGCTGAATTTTGTGCCCATGTTAAGTGTTAATTCAAGATAGTTTCCCCCCATCTTTAAATAATTTCCTTTCATATTCTCATTTTTGCATATAGAAGGTTTCATTCAAATGTGTTTTTTTTTTCTTTTTGGGAGGCCAATCTCAAGTCCAGTTGGTGGAGTCAGGAGGGGAAGTGAGAAGTCCTGGAGATTCCCTCCATCTCTCCTGCCAAGCCTTTGGATTCTCCTTCAGCAACTATAGCATGGGCTGGTTGAGAAAGGCTCCATGGAAGGTACTTGAATGGGTGGCTGACATAAACTCTGGTTCCAGTAGGATATACTAATCAGACAAAGTCAAGGGGGGCTTCACCATCTCCAGAGACGATGCCAAAATCCAACTGCATCATCAAATGAACAGCCTCAAAGCTGAAGACACAGCAGTCTATTACTGGGCGAGAGACACAGTGAGGTGATGTGAATCTGAGGTGATGAAAGGACCTTCTTTTCCTCAGAGCAGCCATTCAACCTATATTAGCCAAGAATGATTAATTAGTGAATTAGGATTCATCACAATCCAGAGAGAATTTTGGAGTATTTTGTTCTGGGAATCCAATGAGAGAGTTTGAAGAAAAGTTG